AAAAATAAAAAAATTAGTTGTATTATACAATGAAATATGTTAGAAACCAATGACAGATTTATAACTGACACTTGATATTCTAATCCGAATTTTAAATCTTGTCTAAGTTATTCTTATTAATATCCGAAATCCTTTTATAGCTGTTCCAGCGAGGATCACACGATCTTCGTCTTTGTCATCCTTAACCATGTTCCACTAGATTCTTTTTGCTTGCTTTTATCTTAAACCACGCCCCTTAACTCTTGTTCCTTTTTTTTGCGCCACCGTAGTCGATGCAGCCACGGTTCTAACCGACTCTTCGTTTAAACCAAAGCACGACTGTGAAAAATCTAGGATGGAATTCGATAAGAAATGATGGAAAAAAAAGTCAAGAGTTAGTAATAAGTATTGTTCAAAATTTCAGTACAATTAATATTTCATTTATACATACAACATATTCATTTAATATATTCGGAGATTAGGTTAGAGTATAAAATGAAATGAATTTTATTCTATTATTATTCGCCTTTATTCTGTTATTATAGTAGTTGACAGAGGGTACTGATAAGAAATTACTTGCCGTGTCGTTCCCCCATCACACAATAAAATTGACCATGTACACGACACGCCACTTAGGACCAAATAAGAAGCCCGATAGCTTTGCAGTCGATGCGCTTTATATGCACGCATAATTTACTTTAACCCTGACGTATATTCACCACCCATGCAGTAAGCGAGCACCTACGGTGAACTTTTCAATCTTCTTGCCAACATTCTGACAGAGTGGATAATAATACTTTTAGGAAAGAGCATTAATCGAATACTTCCAAGTTATTCCATGAATTTTGTGTTCATCTTATTATTTTCTTTCAACAAAATTTGACTGTTAATGTGAACATTTGTTCGATAAAAATAATCTTCCTAAAAGCTTTGAAATTATTTTTATTACGTTCATACTAAAGTATTGTATAGTTCAACTATATTATTTAAATAAAATCAAAATGAAACATGAAATTATATTATGATATATATATATATATGTGTTTGGGTATGCACGCGCGCGTGATTTCTGGTAGCTTATTTGACTCGATGAGTAAGCAGATTGCAAGTCCTTCTTCCTCTTGCAATTAGTGCATACTTCATCTTACTATGACGTATGCAGACGAAAAAATTCAAAAGATAAATATTTCAGTATTCGTTTGTGCTGCTTTTACATTTTCTATATAAAATGTGTCAATTAATTTGATTCGATAACCTGTTTATATTTTTACCGTTTTGTGATTAAACCTATTTTACAAAATATATTTCTCTAAGGGGAGATTCGTGTGTTCACACATAATTTATTAAATTTAATCAAAACTTTGTAAAGAGAGTAAATTTGAACGAAAATCAAAGATTCTTGAAAAAGTATCTGTTGAGAGAATTAATAAATAAAATTCAAATGATTTCATTTCGAAAAGCTAGACACCTACGATTTGTGTATCTGATAAATTCAAAATTCGCATGTAAAATGAATATCGTATAGCTATATATTATATTATTCTTTTTAATCGTTTCTTATGTTTTATTTTATAAGATAGAATGGTAGAAGGGGTGTATTCGGAGTGTTGCATGGATGCGCACTAATGAAGCGTGTCCATTTCGGTGAAGAAGGTTCGGGATTGAAGGAAGATAGAAAAAGAGGATGATAAAACAATTAAAAAGGCGGCAAAGGACGACGAATAGGATGGGAGTTACCGCAGGGAAGGTCAAGCAAGCAGCTAACATAAGAAAAAAGAAATCAAACGAAAATAAAAAAATAAAAGAATTCTTAAGCGCGTCAAGGACCAGAGGTCCTTGCTCTCCGGGTCATAGCAGCACACCGACTCGAAACACTTTCTTCATCTCGACTCCCTCAGAGGCTCTCAAATTTATTCTATACTTCTGACTATAATTATACACAAAAAAAAAAAGAAACACAATCTTATCTTATCATTTTTCCACATATAATCGTCTAATTCTTTATATTCATACGTGTTTTTACACTGTTTAACACAAGTTTATATATGTTTTTGAGTTAATTTGAGGTATAAATTTGAAAAATAATCTAATTTTATTAGGCAATCATTTTTTTGAGATACAATATAACGGCCTATTATGCTAATTCAACAAGATCTTTCATTTTATTATCTATTATGAAATCGGTGTAATTTTTTCAAGTAATGCAACCCAAATATAATAAAAAAAAATGTTTAACTTTAATTGTTTAAAAATGAGAACTCTTGTTAGATTTCGATACGTGTTGTCACTGATAAGAAAGTTACAACACTTAATTTACAATGCAATCTCGATTCCGAAATTGAATCACCCTTCGCGCAGGTAACTTCGTTAATGATATTTTAGCATGAACGTAGATTCCTCTGAACATTTGTTAGGAACTTCTTCCATGGTATTTCCACTATCTTGTGTCGTTAAATCGAAAGGTTCGAAAGGTTCGAAAAATACGAGGAGGGTTGATATTCCAAGATTAAAAGGAACAAGCTCTTTCGTTCACTATTACGAATTTCATGTTTGATTACAACTTTAAGTCTTATATATATATATATATATATATATATATATAAGTATTTTTTTTTATATATATAAAAGAAAAGCAGTTATTTTTCTGTGATCAGAGCCTATCATGCAGAGAGGTACAAATTATTGTCATAGTTTTTGAAAGGCTTCATCAAGATTTTTCTTATATTTACATGAAATAAATGAAAGTAATACTTATATATATAATAGAAATATACTGTGTCAATCTCTGTAATTAGTAAAACTTACAATTAGTTTCAAATTTGTACGTGATCCATATCTGTCGGTATTTTTTCCTAAGTAATACAACCATTTTATACCGTGTGTAAAGTGGGTTGCCTACGTAAAGGAGAGTTACAAATTGATACTTACACGTGTACTGTTAGATCGAGTCAAAAGTTCCTTCGTATTATATTATACAAGAATGAAACAAATCTTTCTTATATTTTGTATACAAATTTAATATTTTTCTTGATTAGATTAGTATTATGTTAGTTATGCAATCTTAAAGTTATTTATCAGAAAAATATGAAAATACTATAAATAATAACTACAGAGAGGAGATAATCAAATAAATCATTTTGTTGAATTGTTAATTTTGTAATCAATACAAGAATATTATTTTCTTTGATGTATAATTACCGTACTAGTATGATCATTGAGACTAGAAATACAGATCTTAAGATTAGAAGCGAATAACTTGGAATTACGAGGGATGGGATTAGATGAAAATCGGCATACTTATGACGAGAGAGTTTCGTAACTAGGTGCCATTGTTTCATTCTTGTATATATATATATACACACCTATATAGATGAATATACAGGGTGTCCCAAAAGGTTTGTTCATAAAACTTATACTACATATTACTGAAGTCAAATAGATGAAAAAAGCTAGTACAAACACATATCCGAAAATACATTATTGGAAATATATAAGCATTCACAGTTAATCTCAGTAATACGTAGTATAAGTTTGGTGGCAAACTTTTTGGACACACTGTATCTCTACATCTAGATACTTATATACATCTTTTACCTTTTCTCTTGTGACCATTCTCACCGAGCATCACTGAAATAATCTTTTCGAGTAACGAGCCACTGTGTGTCTCATTCTTGCTTGCTTGCATAAGAAAATAAAGCTAAGATCTTGAACGGATTTTGTTTGGAGTCACGGAAGTTCGTCGTTCTTTTCAACGTGTTGCTATGTCGTTATTAATTACTTTGCTTAACTCTCTTTTTATTTTTATTTTTAATTAATTATTTATGATTCAAGTTCCGCCAAAGTTATTTTAAGCGAGTAAAATTTGAATTAACGATATTTATATAAATAATTTGTGAGAATTGAAATGTAATGTGAAGTATTAATAAAAAATAATATTAATGCTAATAATATTAAAATGTTTTCTCTCTCTGATTATAACTGGCTTCAGTGAGATTTACAAGAAGAGAGAAGCTGATTCACGGGAAATCTCATCCAACTATACTTGAGAATACTTAAGCGTTGTTTTCACCGACCTATTGCGCGCGTAGTGACACGCAGCTCGATAGAAAGAATTCTTTGAAGGAATCTGGAAGGTCGTTGTTAACAACGATTAAATTACAAAATCTAAAAGAAGTATCCGCAATACCAAGAATCAGTAAAAAAAAAGAAAAAATGAAACATAAACCGTATCTTAAAGATTATAAAAATATCTAAACTTTCTTATAATTTCGATTCAAGTATTCATGCTATGAGCAAATAGAGAAAACTTAATGTAAACAGTTATGTTTGCTAAAAGTAAAATATCAAAAAGAAAAGAATGATGGATATAGTAAAGTAGTTACCGAATTCTTAGAATGGTCCTAAAGGAAATGATGTGTCATATTTGTCGTTCTGCCCGTTACGTGCACGTGCAGAAAGGTTATAGAGTTGTCATCGACATATTATATGTAAGTAACTAACTAACACATCAGAAAATCTCATTTCAGATATTTATATACATTTTATACACATATATCAAGAAGCTTTAATTAAAATGTAAGGAGAAACACTCTTCGGCAAATAAATTTCTTTATATACGCAGAATTATATAAATATGGGAAAATTGTTGCAATAAAAAACGTATCCATAAAAATATAAAATAAAAAAAAAAAAAATAAAAAGGAATATTTTTCTTTTGCTCTGAATCACATTAATATAACTAAGAAAAAGAAATGAGAACGCATATCTAAGGGGGAGGTCATTAATATTATAATTAATCAGATAATAAAGTAATGAAAAGGTGCGTTAGGATGCATTAAAATCGTTAGTTTCATGAAACGAATCATGAAACGAAGCAAAGGCCTCGATAGAAGAAAACCAGGTGTGTGTGTTCTCCAGTTAAGCCTTCCTATGCCACAGAGATCGGACTAGTGAAAGAGTGGGGCGCTCATATAAGACACGAAGCCAAACGCCTCTGCCAGTGACCAGGCTCGACACGAAAACTCATCGGCCGAGCTTCTTCGCCGCTTTTAAACACTAAAAACCCTATATATAATAATAATTATTATATTAGTCATTATATTTTCTTAATATTCATTAATATTATACCCCAAGTTGATGGTTCCAACAGCGTAAAGAAACTCAAATTCCGAGTAACGTCAAGTTTCATCATTGTTGTAGTTCCACAAAAGCCCTTTTTATCGATAACACATACATATCAACAGAATGGCAACGAGACGAGTTACTTATCTTCTTCTGATTGCCCTCATCGTACACGGTGAGTGTTAATGACCGTCTTTCATTTTTATTTTTTTTTTTATTCCCTGCGTTTCTTTCCTTCCTTCCAATTTTTCATAATCTTACCAATGTTTCCTACATTTTTTATTTATTTTACATTGTTAGCAAATAATTATTCCTTTCTTCTTTTTTTCTTTTTATATAACAATTACACATGGTTTCTATATATTAAAAATTGTATAATTATAAGTTAAGAGTTATGGCGAATTTTTGGAATGAAAAATTGCGAAGATCAGGATCAAAAGTTAAAATCATTCGTAGATATATTTTATTTCTTATATGCATCTCTTCGTTAAACAATGATAACTATTTACTAGAGATTTCACACATCTCAAGAACTTTCTCTGGCGTCTTGTGAGTGAAAATATGAAAGTAGCTCATCGACTGTTTAACTCCACCATTTCCCCCTAAATCCCTTCCTCCCACCTCTTTCTCTTTATTTCTTTCGGTATCTTTCTCCTTTTTCTACCCAATCCTTTCTCTTTCACTTCCTTCTCTCATCTTTCTTCTCTTTTTTTCCTTTTATTTTTTTTTTTTCACTTCCATTACATTTATTAATATTGCATTTTTAAAATATCGAACACAAATTTTGATTTTAATTCATTTATTTGTATAAATTTTACACGAGAGATTCACCCTGAATGTTTTGACCGAATTTTCTGAACAATTTATTTATATTTAAAAATAATACGCGGTCAGATATAATTATATGATAATATATTATTATTAATATTTTTCTTTTTTATATTTTTTCGTCATACTTTTTAATATTTATTTGAATTGTTTCTAACTGGTAAGGAGGACACAGGTAGATGGAAGAAGGATAGGTGTGTTTTAAGATTCTCGTTTTCCCTTCAGGCTATTTGTCGCGCGTTCGATTTGCAGTTCTAAAGTTACGTAAGAGATTCTACTTTCTACCGTCAAGTAGTGTTTTTCATTATAGAAATTAGTTTAAGTCGCATTACTTGTTCTGCCTTACGTAGACGCATACCAGAATGTATCATGGAAAATATTCATTCGATCGTTTCCGTACTGGTTTCCTTTCCTTCCGCGAATGTAAAACCTGATTTAAAAAATTATTACATGTGTTGGCCAACGTTCGTTTTATCTTGTCTGCCTCTCTTTCATTTTCTTCTTGTATTAATTTTTTTTATTCAGTATTTATCTCAGTGCATTATAGTTGTTCAAATATTTTCAACTATCGTTGTTCTGTTAGATTTTATTTAAATTTTTGAAAAAAAAAAAGAAATTCATGTAGAATTGTCAAGAATAATTGTAAAAGTTTTGTAAAAAAGAAACGCAAGTAGGTCGAATAATTTGCAGTAGAGAGGCGTTAAGATTGCTTCATCGTTAATCAAGATTCTACCGAGAATATAAACGTTTGAATGAAAAATTCTTTGAAGACGTCATATTTAAATTCTTTCATATCTTACTCTAAACATTGCTATTAATAATTTGAATATATTAAAAAAGAATTCAATGAATATAAAATACTCTTTACATGTAAGGTTTATTTAAGTAAATATCAAGAATATAAAATATTAAATATATATTTCTCTACTTGTCATATTCATAAATATTATTAATGTCAAGAAAAAATTCAAAAGTAAGTAGGAAAAAAATATTATTTTTTTCATAAATAAAACAAATGAACGATCAATAGTCCATCAAAGTATACCTATTAACGTAATCTATCATTAAAATTCTCGTCAGCTTGGTGGTAGCTATGTCTAGTCCGGAAACTAGAATGGCATAGCATTAAGTAATTTCTACCTAGTTCAATCGAAACCGGTCATTATTCTTTTTCCCACGTATATTTGAAATTTTACTGCACCGTTAACTCCCGTTACATAGTCGATTGAAAATAATTAAATAAAGAATTAACTAGATCGTGGTAATAAAAGATCACTACTTTCTTATACAAGTTTTTCATATATATATATATACAAACACATATACACATGTGCATGTACATGTATAGAAAATATTTCTCGCGGAAGTAAATGTGGTGTTATGTATAGTCCCAGGTAGTACGTAATTATGTATTATATATCAATTTGATTCTTTAGAAATATATTCAAAATACAGGAAATATCTCCTTCATTTAGATTACTAAAAAAGATGATTAATATCACTAATATATAATTTATTAATCATTAATATTTTCTCTCTCTCTCTATGATTTTCCATAACTTCAAATTAAATAATTTTGTCATTGTCAAAAAATGTGCAGTTTATATATGCAATGTTGGATATTATTTTATCGAAGCTACTAAATAATTGGAAATATTGATTAATTAGTGGAACGTATAAGTAACTTTGCCAATGGTGGAGCCATCTAACCCACACTTCTGTTCACTCTTTACAAGGAGTTGTAAAAGAAGGGAAAGTAAGCCTTCGCTTACAGAACGTCGGCACCGTTTTTACTGTGCGTCGTCCCTTACATAAGATACTTCTTACCCACTCATTGACATCTCCTCTTATTTCTTGGTGTCGTTCTATCTCAATAATAATTAATTATTTTATATTAAATCTTCTCTTAATTTTCAATATATTACGTTTATTAAATAAAGTGAGTCTTCATTATTATTACTTTTGGTTTGTGTCAATGTGTAGTAATAATTGATCTATTATAGTTGTGAATTTTACACATCTTAAACTGGAAAATAGTTTTGTTTTAATATTGAATGATTTTATTCTGAATATTTTGCTATTTTATAATACCGTAATTAAACATAAATGTATAAATCATGTTTAGAAATATTCGTGTATAAATTCGCGCAATACTTGTTAAGCAACCCAACGTAAAATGCCTTTTACGTTCTTCGTCTGTTACTCTTTTTCTCTTTCTCTTGCAAAAGTATCATGAAGAAGGTAGTATTTGAATTCCATAGAATCGTCATTGACCGTAATGGTGTTATTCGAGTTCGTGCACTTAGGCGAAGAGACCTTAACACTTTTTTTATTACTTATACTCATACATGCATATATATACAATATTTCAAGTACAATGAACTCCCGATGCATGTGCAATGCCAACCTTAGATAATCTAAGAGAAATATTTGACTTTTAACATCTATAAGATAGATTTGTTTAATTGTGTTATTTTATGCATTATATAAATAATGTATATTATAATATAATCATATATATATTATATAATATAAGAATAAAATAAAAAAAAGCACAGAATGATGAGAAAACATATCGTGTTATAGAATTTTGGTATTTTGTGAATTCCTATGTAACACATTCGCGTAATAAAGGAAAGATATCATTTAGAATGGCATCAGATCGAATCTTTAAGAGAGTTCGAAGATGGGAGAGGCGAGACAAGACGAGAAGGTTTGCCACGAAGGTTGCGAGTCAAGGCTAGGCACTTTCACTCGTATCTACTCTTGGGAGCGAGATACTGGCCGATTTCCCACCTTAACTTACTATTTACATACTTTTGCGATCGACCGACTAAATGCCGCATCGATCGAATTATATTAATCCCCTCTGGAATATTCTCGGCAACTTCCTCAACAGTGGCTGCATTTTTGCATGACCACTTTTTTCCTATTTGTTATACGCGTTTACTATCATTGCTTTTATCGATAAGTCAAACGAAAATTATACAGGAAGCTACTAACAGTTTTCTCTCTCTCTCTCAACGATCTAAAATTAAATATATATTTAGTGTCTGAAGATTTTTATTTTATAAAAGATAACCTATTTTTATTAGATATTCGCTTATTTTTGTATTTATTCTCGTTTGATATAGTGACTAGTATAGTTGATTTTATTTCAAATTCTATTTTCAATTTGAATTTGTACATTTAATAAATAAATATGGCAATCCAACTTTCTTTTAACGTATTAAAGTAAGTTAACGTCGGAGGGAAATGAGCACGTTCGGAGAAAGCGTTCGTCTTATTACCACAATGAGAATGTAAAAGTTTAATGCCATTATTAAATGTATCAGACGAGAATGGTAGCTCATATGATCGAATCTCTAAAATGTATTTTCTCTCTCTCTCTTTTTTTCTTTCTGCATATAAATATGTGCTTTGGCCTTTCGGTTTGTTCCACGATTGCTTTTTTAACTTTTCCTAGTAACATTTAGCGACAAAACTTGTTACACTTTCACCGTTAAGTCTAACTAGTTTATTTTTCATTATTTTTATTTTTCTATCCGACACACTACTAAACACGCATACAAATTTATTTGTAAAACGTGAATGGCTGGATCACTTTTCGTTTGTATCATATTATTTAAGTGAAATGCATTACATAAATTTGTATCGGTGACTGGAACGAACAAAAAAATGTAGAATTTACGTAATGTTGGTCAAATATTCGAACTGTGTAATTTATCAGTTACAAGAGTACTCTCATTAAAAAAAAATGATCAACAAAACACCATAAGGACAATTTCGTGAATTGAAATAACCTCATTTAACCTCGAACAAATTCATGAATATGTGATATTTATAATGTCATGGACAACCACGACAACGAGGATGTGTAATGAATAAATTTATGAACCCATCTTGCAACCTTCGAACGGATAAAACGATGAAAAAAGTAAACAACCCAAAAGGTGATATACGTGTGAAACTTTGTAATTCGAAAAGGGACACACTTGTTTTCCTTGACGATAATTCCTTGCAAATGTGTGCCATCTTTTTTTTTACACATTTTATCCTTGACAAATTAAACCGATGGTATCACGATGAAGTTTTAATACTTTTGCAAACGTGTTTACTAATGCAACAAAATCATTGACTGTTTCAGTATCGTACGGTCAAAAACAACACCAGGAAGATCCTTGTCAGACAAAATCAAGAGTAGTAGGAGATGTTGAATATTGCGATCGTTATTGGGAATGCGTTAACGGAAGGCCTGAATTATTTGACTGTCCAAATGGTTTAGTTTTCGCTGGTAAACACAGAGGTGTTACCGAGGGTTGTGATTATCCTTGGAGAGCTAATTATTGCGATGGTAAACGCCAAGCAAATCCACCAATATCAGCTGAACACTGCGATTGGCTTTACGGAATATTCGGCCATGAGACATCCTGTACGAGATATTGGACCTGTTGGAACGGAACTGCAACTGAACAATTATGTATAGGTGGTCTACTTTACAACGAAAGGGCACGATCTTGCGATTGGCCCGAAAATGTCGAGGGTTGTCAAAAACATCGTGAGTATACATATAACTTTAGTTTAAAGAATCTCGAACTTGTGCATTATGCCTTTCTCTTTGGTCTCTTATTTTCTTTTTCTTACTCCTTAGTATAAATGGGTATTTTTATTTTTATTTATTTTTTTTATCCGTTGAAAAGAGACCTTGGGGAAAAGAGAGAAATGTGTTAATTAATATCCGAGACAGGTACTTGTTTCATGAAAGTAAAATAAAGAAAAAAACCTTTGTGCAAATTATGTTTAAGAAGTGTGGTAGAATAGTTAAATTCATTTTATAACAATAATTATATGGTTGCTATTTATTTGGTCAGTATTGTTAAATAAATGGTAAACATCGTAAAATCAAATACCCACTGGTATACAAATATGTTCAGTATTTTAAATTTATTATAAAATATTAGCATATCTCTCTCTCTCTCTCTCTCTCTCTCTCTCTCCTGTATTAATATATAATCCTGATGTAACTCTGATGTAAGTAGGAAAACTATTGGCGACCTGGGTATTCCGAGTATTTTAGTAACCGGTTCTATCTCGAAATAAAAAAAAAATATTAATCGAATCTTATACAATCCTGCAGATATCTGAGTACCCGAGTAAGATATGCAAGGAAATGAAAAGTATAAAACTAATGCATTTACTGTTATACTTATATTGCACATTGCATGCATTATCGAGAATCCTGTTACCTACAATATTAAACTGTTTGCTCGTATTAAGAAGTTAAACATACATAACAAAAATATTAATATCATCTTATAAAATATTGTTTTGTAAATGTGAACTATCCTACAAATTTTGGTGCAACACACACATGCATAGATATTTTATAGATTAAATTACAAAAATTGTAGATGAAATGTTGCTTTTGTTATAAATACTGATAATTCCTTGAAAATATTAACAAATCATCAATACTAAACAAAATATTCGTATTTGGTAACCATTTATTTTACAAAATACTGACCAAAAATATTTACGAAAATACTATTAGAAAAATAAATAAAATTACATAAATAAATGGCTTTAGGAAAAAATGAACAATGAATTAATAATTAAAAATTGTCTACAGCATTATGCAACGACGACGCGAATGGCAATGTTCCATTAGGAAAATCCTGCAACCGTTATTGGCAGTGTCAAGGTGGTTACCCGCGTTTGCAAAGGTGTCCAGCAATGTTGGTCTTTGACAGACGATCTTTAAGATGCGTTGTACCACCCACCGAGGATTGTGACGTACCAACAACGCAACCAACTTTGGATGGAGATCTTCAAGAAGGTCGATTGGAACAAGAACCCGAAGAAGAAAATTTACCACCTGGTGTACCACCACTTCCGGCTGGTGCCTTACCGATTCCTCTTAGACCCCGTCCTAGAAATTAATTTGCTTGCACCAATTTCCCCCCCCCCTAAAAAAATAAAAAATAAAAAAAAAAGAAAGAGAATAGTCAAGAAACGATCAAAAACTTAATTATCGCATTTCGCGCGAACACGAGACTTTTATAATTATTTTGTTGATTATTATCGTATTATTCTAACATTATTCAATCCAGAATAGGATTTACAAATATTTTTGAACAAATGACGCTCACAAATCGTAAAAGAAGAAAAAAAAGAAGAAAAAAAAACAATTCAGTACTCCAAAAGCAGTATACTCCATTTAATTTTTTAATTTTTGTTTCGTAAGTGTAAGATTTATCTTTTATAATTACAACAAAATAAGCGTAATCATGTTAGATGGTTAAGATTATTATTTTTTGTTTGTGTTTTTCGTTTAATTTTTTTTTTTTATAAGACCTGTTCATCATCCGCTCCTTAGTCATTTTTGGTGAAGATGTAAATATTTGTTCTTTTAGCCATTTCTCACTTTTTTCCTCGAAAGCAGTCTCCCTCTTCTTCCCTCTCGCCCTTCTGTCCCTTCCACTCTCACCAACCTTTTATTTCTATTATTGCATCCAAACGCATTTACAACCTGGTCGATAATGTATAATATAGAACTACATTAAATAAACTATATATTATATATTTTTTTTAGAAGCCGCTAATATTTATTCCATGATTTTCCTGTACCTAATAAAATGATCTCTACAAGTTTAAGAAAATATAATAAAAGTTATGTGCTTTTTCTTTTGTATATTATAGCATTCATTTGTGGAATAACTAAAGAGACCTGAAAAGTATGGCAGAAGACAAAATTACATATTTCAACTAATTGTAAGTGATATTTGAATTCACGCGCGCGCACGAGAGAGAGGCATGTAATTAAATTATAAAAATTAAAATTAGATCTTATAAATACAAACAAATTTTGATAAATACTCGTTGAATTGTCGGTTGTTTTATTGATCACGTCTAATAATTAAAATATTCAAAAGCAGAGATTTATTAAATAAAAGAATAAATTCGTTTGAGAACGTGTTACCATTAGTCTACTCTCTGCAAGATCATTAATACTTTATTAATCATTATCATTTTCGAAATAACTACTGAAAATTATTGATGAGTTGAAAGTACTGAAATTAAAGCAGCTATTTGGTAAATATTTGATAATGCAGATCACATTAACGCGAGACGTTTGTGTATGTGCCTTCAGAAATGCATGTATTATATATGTAAACAACTTTCAATAAAAKTAATTACATAGAAGACAAAGGCTCATTTCAACGTTTGATTTCGAAGAGGACAGTGCATAGATCATATACTCAGTGCTTCTAAATTGCAATATACATTTCTATCGATTAATAAACAATTATTTTATTAATCTAAT